CACTCGTTAACACAGTCAAATGCTTTGTTCCTGAATGAATCGGTTGAATCTCAATGATTCACTCATTAACAGTCACTTGCTGTCACCTACTGGCTGTTTTAATTTCACATTTGGACTATTTTGTTCATGTTTTAAATCATTTCAAATATCAGTATTCAACCTTTTATGTTAAGAACAAAACATTATTTATGCATCTGTAACTGCAGTTTAAATGCATCCATGTCCCCTTTGAGATACATAAACTGTGTAAATACATCCAAATGCTATTTCAGATGCAGATTCTAAAAATGTTTTCTCATGTTGGAATGAAAGACACTAAGTTACCGGATGAAATGCTTCTTATTCTTACCCAAAAATACAAAATGGAAGAAAGAGTTAAAACTGAACATAATCTCGCTACTCAAGCCATGTATGAACATGTTTTATATTTATTTGCTTCTTTTCCATTTTGCATTTACTTGTACTTTTACTTTCAATACTTAAGTACGTTTAAGATTTAAAAAATACTTTTTGTACTTAAGTACAATAATTATCACATACTTTAAGACTTTTACTCAAGTAATATTGTAAACGGTGACTTCAACTTCTACCAAAGTAATTTTCTGGTAAGATATCTGTACTTTTACTTGAGTATGGCTTTCAGGTACTTTATACACCACTGTTTCTTTCTCAACGCTGGTGCTTGACTGACCTTGGTTATTGTAGGTTAGATTGATTTCATGTTAGGATATGATACAGGATATGTATGCTGCGATTATGTACCAGAATGGTTTGAGTCTTCTACAAGTCCCTTCAAGCAACTCTCACTCTCTCATCTCTGAATTTTTGACCTTTGGTGTCAGGATATAACAGCGTGGTGGTGTTCTTTATGTTCTGACTTCGCTTTAAACATGTTTTTCCTCGGCTAGAGTCTACCACTGCCATCCATCTCTGCCGCTCCCAGAATGCAGCAATAAAGGAATAATTGTATTTCAGAGGTATTAAACAGCCAAAAGCCCCCATCATTGGCGGAGCTGCGAGTAACAAGGTGAAAAATGCAGCCACACATTTATCAGCTGTCAGGCAGGACACTGGATATGTAGCTGGGGATGCAGTGAGCCTCGCTCTTCCGTATATCAAAGAGGTGGACAGAATAATGTAGGTGATTTAGTTCTTCATGGATTCCTTAATTTTTTTTTTCAGGTGAAATTTGCTGATACAAGTCAACTTCACAAGAGAAACGATTCTCTACGCACCAACAAAACAGCGCTCGGGGAACATTTTAACCTTGTTTCAGAGAATCTCTGAAGCCTTTATTATATTTAGTTGTTATCATGTGTTTGTCGCTGACAGAAATTGCAAAATCAATATGACAAAATATCAATTATTGTAAAGTCGATTGTGAATTGTACAACCCATTCAATAAAGCAAACATTTATATTTTAAAAGTATAAAGTCAAATTTTCATGACAAATTTAATTAAATTTGTTAAAACACATTTTAAAAATCAGTGTGATATGGTGATGGGCAGATAAACATCGTAAAGTAACGTTTCCTTGTGACCGTGTATTAGCTTAGCACGTTTTAGCTGGTTTCGCATCTGGTTTTACTTCGATATTTACATAGAAATGGTGATGCAACACAGTACCAAAATTATCACACAAAAGTTTTTTTTTTTTTTTTTATGTCTTTAAGATCAAACATTGAAATTATTATTAGTACTTAATTGTCCATATTGGATCCCACATGATTTGGCTATTTTCTATCAAGTGCAGATGAGTTTGCCCTAATAATGCTGTAGAGTTTGATTGGACATATGGGCATGGGGAGCATTTTCTCCTCTTGTTTAAAAGTTGATTAACCTATTTATTGTGCTGTTCTAACACAATGATAGGGTTAATTGCACTTTATTATTGGGATTTTAGTGCAGCTGACCACTGTGCAAGTTGTTCAACTCAGTGGTCAGATCTGTTCTTCTGCTTCAGGTCTAAATTACTGCTTCATACTGTCTCAGTGTTCAACGAAAATAGTTCCAAACAAAGATCACAGCACTGTTTTGCTCTTTTTGAGCAATGGTGTTTACTTATTGAATGAATCAGCTTTTTGAACAAATCGGTTAAATAAATGATTCAGTGATTCACTCGTTAACACAGTCAAATGCTTTGTTCCTGAATGAATCGGTTGAATCTCAATGATTCACTCATTAACAGTCACTTGCTGTCACCTACTGGCTGTTTTAATTTCACATTTGGACTATTTTGTTCATGTTTTAAATCATTTCAAATATCAGTATTCAACCTTTTATGTTAAGAACAAAACATTATTTATGCATCTGTAACTGCAGTTTAAATGCATCCATGTCCCCTTTGAGATACATAAACTGTGTAAATACATCCAAATGCTATTTCAGATGCAGATTCTAAAAATGTTTTCTCATGTTGGAATGAAAGACACTAAGTTACCGGATGAAATGCTTCTTATTCTTACCCAAAAATACAAAATGGAAGAAAGAGTTAAAACTGAACATAATCTCGCTACTCAAGCCATGTATGAACATGTTTTATATTTATTTGCTTCTTTTCCATTTTGCATTTACTTGTACTTTTACTTTCAATACTTAAGTACGTTTAAGATTTAAAAAATACTTTTTGTACTTAAGTACAATAATTATCACATACTTTAAGACTTTTACTCAAGTAATATTGTAAACGGTGACTTCAACTTCTACCAAAGTAATTTTCTGGTAAGATATCTGTACTTTTACTTGAGTATGGCTTTCAGGTACTTTATACACCACTGTTTCTTTCTCAACGCTGGTGCTTGACTGACCTTGGTTATTGTAGGTTAGATTGATTTCATGTTAGGATATGATACAGGATATGTATGCTGCGATTATGTACCAGAATGGTTTGAGTCTTCTACAAGTCCCTTCAAGCAACTCTCACTCTCTCATCTCTGAATTTTTGACCTTTGGTGTCAGGATATAACAGCGTGGTGGTGTTCTTTATGTTCTGACTTCGCTTTAAACATGTTTTTCCTCGGCTAGAGTCTACCACTGCCATCCATCTCTGCCGCTCCCAGAATGCAGCAATAAAGGAATAATTGTATTTCAGAGGTATTAAACAGCCAAAAGCCCCCATCATTGGCGGAGCTGCGAGTAACAAGGTGAAAAATGCAGCCACACATTTATCAGCTGTCAGGCAGGACACTGGATATGTAGCTGGGGATGCAGTGAGCCTCGCTCTTCCGTATATCAAAGAGGTGGACAGAATAATGTAGGTGATTTAGTTCTTCATGGATTCCTTAATTTTTTTTTTCAGGTGAAATTTGCTGATACAAGTCAACTTCACAAGAGAAACGATTCTCTACGCACCAACAAAACAGCGCTCGGGGAACATTTTAACCTTGTTTCAGAGAATCTCTGAAGCCTTTATTATATTTAGTTGTTATCATGTGTTTGTCGCTGACAGAAATTGCAAAATCAATATGACAAAATATCAATTATTGTAAAGTCGATTGTGAATTGTACAACCCATTCAATAAAGCAAACATTTATATTTTAAAAGTATAAAGTCAAATTTTCATGACAAATTTAATTAAATTTGTTAAAACACATTTTAAAAATCAGTGTGATATGGTGATGGGCAGATAAACATCGTAAAGTAACGTTTCCTTGTGACCGTGTATTAGCTTAGCACGTTTTAGCTGGTTTCGCATCTGGTTTTACTTCGATATTTACATAGAAATGGTGATGCAACACAGTACCAAAATTATCACACAAAAGTTTTTTTTTTTTTTTTTATGTCTTTAAGATCAAACATTGAAATTATTATTAGTACTTAATTGTCCATATTGGATCCCACATGATTTGGCTATTTTCTATCAAGTGCAGATGAGTTTGCCCTAATAATGCTGTAGAGTTTGATTGGACATATGGGCATGGGGAGCATTTTCTCCTCTTGTTTAAAAGTTGATTAACCTATTTATTGTGCTGTTCTAACACAATGATAGGGTTAATTGCACTTTATTATTGGGATTTTAGTGCAGCTGACCACTGTGCAAGTTGTTCAACTCAGTGGTCAGATCTGTTCTTCTGCTTCAGGTCTAAATTACTGCTTCATACTGTCTCAGTGTTTAAAAAAGACCCTTAACCCTAAAAAGAAAAAAATCCCACAATTAAATAATTCCAACATTTCACTAAATTTACAGTGTTTATTTTATCAACAATATTACTGACAGAACGTTCCTTAAAGGGGTCATATGATGCTGCTAAAAAGAACAGTGTATTTGGTGTAATGAAATGTGTTTATGCGGTTTAAGATTAAAAAAAAAAAACATTATTTTCCACATACTGTACATTATTGATTCTCCTCTATGCCCTGCCTTTCTGAAACGCGTCGATTTTTACAAAGCTTATCAGTCTGAAAAAGCGAGGTGGGCTGTGATTGGCCAGCTATCCAGTGCGTTGTGATTGGCCGAATACCTCAAGCGTGAGACGGAAATGTTACGCCCCTTGCCATATTGTGATGATGCCCTGCCAGGCCGGAGCGATGATTCAAAAACATGAAAACCCATTATAAACGAGGCATTCGTTGCATCCAGTGTGGACATAATTATGGATTATAATGACTTATACTGTCTTTTTACGCATTGCGTTGCATCGCGCCGCGTAAACATAAAACCATGTCTGCATTTGTGATCAAAGAAATGACAAACAATAAGCCTACTCTACACTGCCCAAATATATTTACATATATAAAATATAAAAACTCTTTAAATATAAAAGACGTACTTACAGTCTTTGAGTCAGAACAGCCGGCATTGTAGTCTACTCTACCAGGATCAGGAAACAGTCCTCCATAAAATGTGCTGCACACATCTGAATATTTGGGTTGAAGTGTTCTGGAACAGTGTTGTAAATACAACTTAACCACTGATTTCTAGTTGTGTCCATTTTTGGAAGGCCAAACAAAGTAGTTTCGCTTTCACAACAAAACAGCGTCATACACCGCGGCCTACAGTGAGCAGAGGCCGGGGGCTAGCAGGAGGAACGACCGGAGGGTTAGAGTGAGCAGAGGCGGGTGGGCTTGAGAATGGCGCAGCCGGCGATTTCGACGAAGGAGCATCCGGAAGGACATGTGACGACTCCGGGCTGGACTCCGCTTCGTCCACGGTGAAAGCCTATCCAGCGATCAACAGCAAAAAGATGTAGTATTTCCTCAGCAACCAGCACGGATCAGCTCCAGGCATGACGCAGCAGATATCGTCCTCTTTTGGAAGACCAAACAAAGTAGTTTCGCTTTCACAACGAAGCACACAGCGTCTTTACGACATGGCGGCGGCAACAACAATACTATAGCGAGAATAAAAGTTACGCCTTCTTCCTTTGCGTGAACATTTGGGCGGCGTTATGCAAATCTTATCACATAGCGATGTAGATATGTGGGGCATTTTAGAACGAGCCGTTTTAGGTAGGTGTGACTGAATCTTAACTTTTATAAAAAATATCTCTTTGGATTTGAGACTTTAGTCTTTGCAACTTTACAGATCTTCTTTATGCACCAAGAGCTTGTAACACTACAAAGAGAAAGGAAAAATTGAAATCGCATCATATGACCCCTTTAACAAAAGGTAACATCTTTCGGCAAGATGATGTGCATCAAAAGGCAGATGCTGTGACTTACTTCTGTGATTCAATTCATTCAAGTCAGAATAATAAAAGTCAAAATCATTTATACTTGCTGAATATTCAGCAGCTGTTATTCCAGTCTTCAGTGAGTGACAATGACGTGACATGTGGCCAAGTATGGTTACCCATACTAGGAATTAGTGCTCTGCGTTTAACCCATCCTAAGTGCACACACTCAGCAGTGAACACACACACACCGTGAACACACACCCGGAGCAGTGGGCAGCCATTTATGCTGCGGTGCCCGGGGAGCAGTTGGGGGTTCGGTGCCTTGGTCAAGGGCACCTCAGTCGTGGTATTGAAGGTGGAAGAGAGCGTTGTACATTCACTCCCCCCAGCTACAGTTTCTGCCGGACCTGAGAAACCCTTGGGTTACGAGTCCGACTCTCTAACCATTAGGCCACGACTTCCCCAGTGTCACATGATCCTTCATAAATCATTCTAATGTTGATTTTCTGTTCAAGAAACATTTATTTTTATTATCAATGGTGGTAAAAAAAAAATTGTGCTGATTGATATGTTTGATCATTTTTGTCAGGATTCTTTGATGAATAGAAAGTTCAAAAGATCAGTATTTCTATCATGACAACTCTCTGAAAATGTTAGCATTGTAATGGATATGACAATGTTAATGTGTTTGGTCTTGGCGGAATAGATCGGCTACTATGCTGCTGAATTGCTGCTGCTGTTGGTTATTGCTGTAGTTGTAGATTATTTCTGCTGCTGCTGCAAGCAAGTACAGGAACTTGCTACTGCTAGTACATACACTAATACGGTGCTGTGAGTATTTAAGACATGCTGCTGCTGCACAAATAACATAAATAACCCATAGCAGATCTATACAGGTGGAGCTGGGGAAGGTGGAGGGTTTCAGAGGAAATCTGAAAGCGCGCTGCAAAATGCTCTAGTGAATGCTAGCCAGCCATTTAAATGTAAAGCAGCAAGCTCATTGGCTGCATATGCAACATGAACCAATCAGCTTGTGCCATGTAGTTTAACGCTGTGAATATCATCAGTTTGCATTAAGGACCAATCAGTCTGCGCCATCTAGAGTTTCATGACAGAACTTAAATATAGCGGAGTCTATCACAAAACATCTCACCCTGCAGATCAAGTCACTTTCTCAGCTACTGTTGTTCAGCTTTTACACACAAACAAATAAAACCTCATGTTCATTTCAGATGGCATGCATTTTCTTGTCCTCAGAACTGGAAGTCAAGACAAACTCATCAAATGGCGGATGTGAGTGCATTCGTCGCTGTCATTAGCAGGCAGAAGCACCTCTCAGCTGAAGAGATAAATCGGCCCCTACCATTGTACTGCTCTGATTGTACCATCAGATGTGTGTATGCTGAACGCATGTCTCGTTCATCCCCCAGATAAAAGCACAGCTCTGTAAATGAGTGGCCTCCACTTGAGTCACAAGTATCTGATGTTAAAGTAATGACAATTTTCCAAAATGTATACCCCCTCCCTTCCTTTCCATGCCTGTGGTTTTGACACCAAATTCAGTCAGGCAAATTGGAGAGCCAGAGAGCTGGAGAGGTTTTAGCCTCTGATTGTGATCTGTAATCATTTCATACAGGAAAATGAGTCGCCTCATCAATCAAACATTGTCCGCCAAAGGTTACGTCTCTCCCTGAACACCAGGCATGCATTTTTGTCTAAGCGAGAGAATAAAAAAGTAATTATCCTATATCATCAGGCAAAGGAGATGTGCCATAATTACTTTTCTATTTCGAGATGATTGTCGGCTTCCTGTCCCAAAGGATTAAAAGTACTGAAGAATCGTTAAAGATGTCGGTGAAAAAAATACCCCCATTACATTTATAAACATCTTAGGACAAAGACAAAAGGGCAGAGCGAGATAAATAGAGTGAGAGAGAACTCTGTAAGCCTCCATATATTTATATTTATTGATATGTTGAACATGGACACATCTGCCCAAGCTGTGTTAAAATGCTTTGTTTTGATAGCAGACAGCCCATGAATTGAAATGGCGTGTCTGTACTTCATCAGTATTCAGCAGTGCATTTGAGTGCCATCACAACCAAATACTCCAAATCTCCGTTAGACTGCTAAACACATCAAGCCTCACTCTATTTAACTCCAAACACAATAAACCTCTGTCATACTACCGTACACATCAAGAGTAATTCACTCAGATGACTGAACATGCCAAACCTTGCTCTCTCAGACTCCTAAATGCACTGAAATCTGAAAGGAAACAAGGAAGTAAGCGCCATTCAACCATTGTTAATAAGGATCAGTAAGCATTACTGGTCAGCACTCATAAGATTCTCGTAAAAGGCTGATATTTATGTGTTAGGTTGCTGAATTTTTAAGATTTATGCTACAATGTTTAAACTACAACACTGGCTCATTGGAAAAACATACCTTTACTTACATTTTTGTAAAACTCCAAAAACGTACCTTCCTATACACATAATTTAATGCATTTCCAGCTGATATGAACACTAGTGACAGTAAAACAACAACTTGCATTCATTTTCACAGACATTTCATTGCTGCAATATGTACAACAGCCAACATAATATGTTCTCATATTCACATTAATCTGTTTCAGACAAACCTGTACACGCTTTTAGTGACACGCACTGGACATTGCACTTTGAAACTGCCACAAAATTTGCAAGACGCCATGTAATATTATTTTGCAGACATTTTGCCACAGGTACATTTTGTAAAATTAACCTGGGTTGTTATATTATTGTATATCGTAATATTAGATCCAACACACCTATTACAGGTAACAGTATTAACAAATTTAGTGCTAATGTAAGGAATATAATGTAGGGGGTGTTTGCACGACATTGTTTTTAATTCAAATGCATATATGGCCATTCATAAACACAGCAACGGTGTTTTGGGTGCCTGAAAATGCAAACTTTGAAGGTTTTAAATTGCTAAAAGTTTTTGAAAATGATACCGTTATCATCTTTGTATAAACTACGAAAACTTGAAATTGTGAAAACGGTGACATTATGTGCATGCACATTTTCTTTAGCCTATGTGTTTATATATGTGCGCAGACATGTCTTTACAATGTAACATCGCCAACTACTTTCCTGGCATGCATAATACAGTGTTTGTAGTCTTTTTGAGAACAATGTTGTCAGTATGCGAAACTTTCTAAAACACAAAGAAAAAACTTTTCTGTTTTTAGTGCAATCATCATTGTGTAAACATGCTGTAAAATAGCCTTTTTTTCACAAGTTAAAGCCGTGTTTGTGTGTATGACTGTTAAATGCTTCTAAAATTCTTAACCGTTTCCCTTTCAGACATGTTGCAAAGTGTGCATTTCTTTGTGTGTATGCATAAAAGAGCGCAAAAGCATTATACATGATCTATATTAGCATCTGTATGGACAGCTAAACAGATGTACGCTCATTTATGAGGACTGTGACTATAAAGAGCCCAGTGCTGAGCTGAAATTCTTAGCTTGCTAGATGATAAACAACAGTTGTGTTTGTGCGTGTGTTGAAGCTGGAGAGTCAGCTCATTCAAATCCTTCAAATAAAGTACAAGCCCACGTCTTTGTCATCACAGCATTTGGTTCAGACGCGATATGTGTGTGGACTGTATGTTTGTGTGTTTCTTTCTTGTGTAGAATATAAAAAGACATATCAAGCAGAATGTCCAAGTTGCTCTTTTCCACACAGCGAATCTTCTCTGTGTCATCACATCATGTATCGTTTCGACATGCACATTTTGTGAAAAAATTGTGTTAGATATTATAGCAAAAAAAAAAACAGGTGGTTTTGCTTAGTGACATTTTTTAAGTAATCCAAGTGGACTAATCGGTAGAGAAATGAAAAAAGCACATTGGATTGAGGCCTCTGGGTGAACTCACTTGGGAGAAAAAGGTCAAACGGTGAATGGGTCACAGAAGCTCTGGAGTGCTTGGAGCTGAAGATGCATGTCAGATTGAAGCACAACTCTTAAGTCTGACTTTAACCTTCAGGAGTTTAAGCTTAATCTGAGAGACTTCTGAAAGTGTTGGTGGATTTCTGGCATCATATAACCTGGAGTATGTTATCTCCACTTCTCTGTAATTTCTTTCAGACTGTTATAGTATGACTTAAAAGCGCTGTCTCTCTCTCACTGTCGGTCTCTTATTCTCTCAGTATAATTGAGTCTATTCTAGTATCTCTTGCCCTTTTTCTCCAACACTCTTTCTTGGGTTTAGAATGTCTGTTTTCTTTATCTCTGAGTTTTGCTTTGCTGGTTTCTTCGGGGGTTTTTTTCTTTTACCCCTTTAATTAATTTTTTTTCTTCTCAGTCTTTTTGGTTGAGTTTTTCTTCTAAGCTCTGAAGCCAA